TATATGTCGTAAAATACGCAATAAATGCTATCTGTTAGTACGATCCATTGTGAAATATATATTGTAATATATATTTAAATATATAAATATACAGTATATTGAAGTACATCAATTTTAGAACAATACAATTAGACTAAATCGCTAATTTGCAATTTTAATTGTATACATGAAACTAACTAATAAGTGAAAAATATATTTACCATAAATAATTTCTGAGAATAAATATCAAATGTTGCTTTAATTAAATGTATTTGGTTACTGTTCGCCTGAAATTCTATATGATACTGTTTATCTTACATAAATAACTTAGTTAGTGCTGTCTGTTTCATTTAGTATATTATTTCGTATACTTATTTCTAACGCAGAAACCATCAATATTTTTGTCTAGTCTCTTCGATAATAGAGGTTAATAAATACGATATTTTGACTTTCATATAGAAGTATGCTAGATATATTCAGGTTTGATTATTTTATAGAAGTCGTCAACCTAATTAACGAGCATTAAATTTAATATTTCACCCATTAGACAATATTTAACTAGACCACATTCTAGCTAACACAATTCATATAAATAAATAATATAGTAGAACCTGGTTAAATCGAATCGGTCGAGGAAAAAATTTCGGACTTCGAGTTATATGGATTCGCCTAAAAATGAAATTTCATGCGTGGTTTTATTAATGATTCCTAATAAACTTTTACTTAGAATTGTTAGTCGGAGAAATCCATCAGCAATCAAATTACAAAAAAAAAACAGGTTCGAATGGTATTACGGTATCTAGGTCACACGCTGTCTAGAAATCATCACCCCCTCCCACCATGACATCACTGGATGTTTATTTTTAGTCATGCGTAGTTTCCGCACTTTATAGAAAGTTTCTGATTAGTTTATTCGATAGATGAACGTTAATTATTCTATTTATGGAAATACCAGTTTGATTTAACGCGTAAATTCCCTATGCTAGATGATCTGGGAAAGAAAATGACTTCGAGTTATCCCGGTTAGAATTCACCAAGTTTACCTGTATCAAGTAAATGCTTGATAATTTTTTAATTAAAAAAATTTAATGATATCTGAAGTGGTTTCTATCCTTACAAATTAATTCTATTTTTACTAAGAGAAAATAAAATATTTAAATTAATTCCACGTATTTCATTTGTTCAAAAAACTGGCAAAAGGGGCCCACTCTACCCTCGGGTCTCATACAAGTTCTCTATGACCTTGTCCCTCATCATTCTGTCATTCCATTGTGGGCCTGATCGAACCCAAGGTCCTAGAATATATTCTAGGACCTTCGGTTTCAATCAGTGGGTTCGATCAGTGGGTTTCCATTGTAGGTTCTGTCCAAGGTTAGGACCTTGGACAAAACCCACAATGAACATGGTAGAAGACCCTCTTAGTGATTACAGAGTGGAAAAAAAGAAAAAAAAAATATTTACTATAATTTAGAAACTTATTTACTGTAAATTTTTTAATATCAAAATAAATTTATAATTTAATCAGATTATTTTCTATTGTTTCTAGATTAATATTTATCTCAAAGTATTTTTGAAAGATTTTCTATAAATTTTCTTAAAAAATTAAAATTAATTTCCTTCGTATTTTTACTATAAACGACGTTACAAATGAAAACTGATTATAGATTAAAACTGAAATTAAAAAAATTATACATATTCAAATAAATAATTAAAATATTTAATTAAAAATTAATACAGAATTTAAAGTTAATAAATTACTTATAAACAGTGTAATATTTAAGTATAAAAAGAAAAAAGTTTGGACAGTAACAACGATATTAAAAGGAATTTGTTTAAATATAGATTAATCAAACATTGCTATTGGCCTTTAAATGTATTGTACGATTTCCAATTTAAAAATTTAAATTTAGAAACTTTGTAAATGTGAAAAAAGAACCTAATAAAATAAAATCATTTAATACCGAAATAGAAATTTACTTACTCTACATATAATAAAAGATTTCCGTTCAATGAAAAATTTTTCTTTTAATTTTTTTATTGAACAAACTTTGCCAACATCACACTAGAAACAGATTTATTAGTAAAAATTAATGTAACTTAATTTTAAAATTTTTCGTTCTTTCTTCCTAATAGTCTAAAAGAATAAAGAAGATTTTTAGATTTATAAATTACTTCTTTTACATATATCTTTTATACAATATACACATTTTTTCGAGCCAATTTTTTACATTTGTGGACTCAGGGTACCTTCAAACGCCGAGAAATGCAAAAAAACTGGGTGTTTTTTGTATGGATAATTGTGTGTAGCGTGTACTATTTTGTTCACCTTCTTTGAAGCTTAATAACTTCTGTGCTTTTTGTCGAAAATTTCTGAAATTTTGCAAGGAGGTTTGTGTATTAGGGGTATTGATGCAGTTAAATTTTGGTGGTAAAAGGTTGAACAGATGAGAAGATAAAGGTGGTCGTGTATCATATCTCGATTATTAGCATTTACCAATTTACCATTTTTTTTAGTAAAACTCTCGCATTCCTTCTCAAAATTAAGCTTTTTGCCATTTTATAATAATTACAAATATAAAATTTTTAAAAATAAAATATCATAACAGATGGCGACACATGCAATTTTAAATGTTACCGGGAAATTAACTTTCGCGTTGCTGAATTTTTTTACATTGTTCTAAGTCTAGAAGCGTGGAGGTCAGTGGTGGACCTTCCGAGTCCCTAGGTACAGAAGATTGGACGCCTCTCTACATAATTTTACAGCTGAGGCTCCTAGAAATATGCCTCACGGGCTTTGTGAGTAATCTGGTACTGGTGGAAGTCGTTTTACATAAGTTTATATAACGTAAACACCCTATTACACGTTACTTGACATTTTCAAAAGTTGTGATTCTAGCTAATATTACTGAACCAAGATCGAGTGCCAATAAATGTTTGTGCTTATTTGAGGTTCCTGAAAGTACCATGCCTTAATTTGTGTAGAACTAACTACACCTGTGCAAACTTTTAACACAGATTTAAATCTTGAAATAGTATAATTTTTAGAGTTTAAGCGCCATTAATATAATATAATCTTTAATCTTATTTGTAAGATGGTCTCATTAGAATATAATATACCTGGAAGAGCTTTCGGACTAGAGTTAAATAGATTCGGATAGTATCCGTTTTATGTAAGGAATATAGTCAATTTAAAAAAATAAATAAATAAAATAAGAGAGTGTGAGTTGTTACCATCAAATTTATTAAAAATGTATCAAAAAATGCGAACTAGCTCTAATGAAAATAACTGGGTTGATCAAGATGCTTGTATTTTGAATAGATATGGATTTTCTATAGGGCTATTTATGGAGAGGAAAGACTAGTAATAACCTTTGCTCTCAATTGGTCCAGAATGTTTTCGAGATATTCTAGGCAAAAGATATAGACAAACTTAAAGTTAAAAATCGTGAACGGTACTCTTTTATTTTAAATTATCCACAAATCGACAACTATTTATTTTGTTAATTTACCATTTAATATTAAAAACTTTTTATACAGTTGAGATTGAATAGAGATTTTGTTATAATTAATAAGATCATATATGATTTGTCTAATGATAATTATTATAGATGTAACAATATAAGTTCTAAACTTCACGTTTCTTGCTTGTAATAAAACTAATGAACTACGATGTAGATACAACTCCTTAAATTGGAAAGTATTAAAGCTTTTCCATACTGTATATGATTAATTTATTATTTCCCTACGAAGTCTTAAAAATATATGGGAAAATATTGTAATTTAAAATAATCATGTTACAATTATTAATACTCTAATTTGCAGATAACTGGAGATGTTACTTCCGTTTATAACCGAAATTAAATTAAGAACAAATTAATCTTAATTTTTTATTTAGAAAATGTAAAAGAAACTGTTGTGGAATTTTTATAACTAATAATTATAATATAAATATTGTATTATCCCCGATATAACAGGAAACTAATTCCTTTATACAATAAAAGTTGAATGATTGATTGATATAATCTTATATCTCATTTAACACAAAATTTTATACTTTTATTCACTTAATTAAATTAAAATAATTATTTAGATTAATCGTAAAATATATAAAAAATTTCTCTGAGAAAAATTTAATTCCTAAAATATTTTCCAGAAATTTCTCTTTTATAGTATGCCATAGGAAATTGTTTTAAAAAATTATGGTCATATATATTAAAATTATTTTAGGTAATCATATATATTTAAATAAAGTAAAATAAAGAAAACAATATAATATTAAATTAGAGAATATACAAAACAATTTAAAGTTTATTATTATATACATTCATACTTTTTATCTTTAAATGTTTCAGCTTAATATACAAAAACATACTTAAAAAATAATCTCGTAACAATACCAAATACTTATCCTTTTGCATAAGATTATTCAAGATTTTCAGTCGGAATNAAATTTGACACTGATGAGTCATTGTTTACACAGCTGGATGACCTTGAGAACATCTGGTCTCGGATTTCCCGGGACATTCTCATAGACGTCTCGGGAGGACAAGGGTTTAAAGTAGAGTGAATACTAGCTGTCCGTATATTTTTAAATATTTTTAAAAAATTTAAATTTTTATTTCAATTTCCGACCCCCCGACTTAATTAAACGTATATATAATTAAATATATTAATTAAAAAAATTAAAAAACTATTGGAGATCGTTTTTGATATCAGAAAGTAGCTTTAAATAACTTTACGGAAGTAAAATCCGTGCACTACAACTTTAGAATGATTAATTAAATTTGATAAAAAAATCCCATTAAAAAACAATCGTGCGTCATTAAAGGTAAATTAAAATCGCGATAAACTTTTTTCGCGCGGGTAAAAATTTTTGAAAAAATTTGGAGACAAAAAACATTCCAAAAATCCAAAAAAATATTTTTTTTGGGGAGCCGAAAGAACCGAGTTTTCTGTAACGCTATGTAACCTGCCCCAGTTATGTAGTTGTCGGGCGAATAACTAAAGGGGTCAAATATATGAAATATCTTCAATATAGTTTAATTAACTAAATTAAATAATTTTTTCATACCTCCATCTATAGAAAACTGCAATAAAATACTTTGATTTCTATATAAAGCATCAATGCATGCAATTCCATCTCCACTTCCACCAAGATGAGCAATATATTGAATGAATCTATAAATTGAAAACTATATAAATTTTTACATAACATTGCATGAAATAATTCAATAAATTAAACAGAAAAATACATACTTTGCATCTCTTAAATCCATATCTGTTGTTTCTAATATCCTCAATCCCCATCCACTAAATGTAATAGACATACCTTCTATCAAAGATTGACAAGGATAATCTATTTTACCACCAAATATTTGGGACCAATAGGTGGTGTCAATTTTTGGATAATTGAATGTGTCTTTAAAATATTTCTAAAAATATCAAAACCATTATTTAAATTTTTTTAAAACTCAAAAATATTAAATGCAAGTTTTAAAACATTAATGTTTTANCATACTTTTTCAGTCCCACACTCATTTAGACATCTGATAAGTCAACTGGCCCTCCTGAAAAAATTAAGTTCACAGCACACAGCTTAACGTCTTAGCAGAATCCAATTTTGCATATTCTCACCTTTCATTCATGTATTATTTGCAGCAAGTGTTTCACATTTCTGTTATAAATGAGTATTCAAAACATAACAATGCTTATGCTGAAGGAAAAATATAAACTTGTATCTGAATTTGAATGTAATAAAACTTTGCAAACCGAATTTGCAAAACAAGAAAACCTTCCAAGAACAACATTAGAATTCTGGAAAAAAAGAGGAAATTAAAAAACTTTTTGTTGAGTCTTTGTCATGGATATCTTGAAAATGCCAGAGAAAGTTGACATATCTTGAAAATGCCAGAGAAAGATGTCAAAGATGCTCTGGAATGTTGGCTAAAGCAAATTTGTTCATCAAATCTTCCTGTTTCAGGACCAACTCTAAAACAAAATGCAATGGAAATCACTGAGTTACTTGGAGTAGAAACCAACATTAGTGCCAGTGATGGATGGTCAGAGAGATACATTGCATGTACTGTATAAAGTACTACTTATTTTTCTAATTGTAGTTTTGTGGTTTTTTCAACTTTGTTTTAGTCATTATATCGGATAACTTGAAACATTTCCACTTCCCCTGGGGTGTTGACTTATGTGGACTTGACTGTAATAACAGAATTCAATAAAGAATTCTAGTCAATAATAATCAACTGTTTTTGCAGCATCCATCATCAAATTCTAAGCATAATTAAAATCTTTGACTTTTCTGTTCAATTAATTTTTAAATTTAACAGTTTTTAAATGTGAAAGTTTTTAAACACATAACTCATAACATCTATGATAAAACAGAACTATCTTAGTATCAGTTCTGTTTAATACAAAAACAAGTGTACTATACTAGATAAAGGTACTGTGGTAATTTCTTATATTAAAATTTCTCAATCTCATTTCAAATTATTCATAAATTATCATCAATTGAATTAGCAAGAGAAGCTAGAGATGCTATTGGCTTTCCCCATAGAAATATTCCTGTTTTGCAAAATTTTATGAGTTGTAGATTGTTTTGATAAGTGGTTGGATAATCTTTTATTGACTTTGCCAGTCTGTAATATTAATGTTTATCTTAGTAAAAATAAAACATTTTAAATTGCTTATTAAATTTTTTATTTTATATTTAAATTTATTATTTTATACTTAAATTTTACAAATTTATGCATGAGAAAGTATTATTGAAATATATTTTTATCATTACTTGGATTTAGCTAATCCAGTTAAAGGAATGGTAATTCTTTGCCATTTCATAGGTGCTTGATATATTGATGGAAACTGTGCAACTCCTGAAAATCCAGGATCAGATGGTAAAAACTGAGGAGTAACATAATGCCATGTTTGTCCAAAATCAATTGAAAATTCTAATTTGACAGGTATTATTGGATCATTCCATGAAGCATTGCATCCTAAAGATATCTGAAAAATATAAAATATATACATACCACATCATCCAAATCTAATGTAGTCCCAAAAATAGTTCAAAATACAAAGAATTTGGATATTGGGAAATGTTTCCTATTATTTCTTATAGAAATATTCTAACTTATTCTTTGCCTGTTCTAATAACTTGAATCAATTTCACCTGATAGTGAAATTGATTAAAGTTATTCATTTTTCATTAAGGTATTGCTTATATTTAGATAAAATTTTGATATTAATTAATTAAAAATTAGCCTTAACATATTCTGAAATTATTTGACTTTTCAGATTTATATTTAATAAATAAGATTTGTGATTTAGTTTGTATCATATTTTTACTAGAACATTATAAAATAAAAAAAAGTATTAATGTTTAATAAAACTTAAGTACAGTGTTAGAACTTACTATATTTGCTGTTACATTTCTACAATACTCTCCAGAATATCCTTTATCACATTTACATTGGAATTTATAACAGGAACCATGTCCAAAACAATTATATTTACAGGCTGGACCAATGTAAATATCTTTTATACCCCAATTATGTGAAACTGAAAGTTCTTGAGTTGCTTCTTGATTCCAATGAAAACGAGTCCATCTATTAAAAATAAATACTGTATAAAATTACATATTCATCTTAGTATGTTCTATGTATACTAAAAGCTAAAATTCTATATTTTTGTTAAATAAAAGAATATATGAAAAAAAATGAAGAAACCTTGTGTTTTCTACTATTAACCTATTGTGAAAATTA